TAAAAAAAAAAAAAAAAAAAATCCTTCCTTCCTTACTATTATAAATGGGAAAGTGAGTTAGTTGTTTGTTTGTTTGTTCCGCTTTCACGCCGTACCTACTAAACCGATTGCTTTGAATTTTTACAGACGTAAAGTTAGAAGTCCGGAATAAATAATAGGGTACTTTTTATCCCGGAAAATTTTGATATTCCCGAGGGAAAACAAAAGAATTGGTATAGATGGCGCTGTGTGTATTGGTATATGTCACATAGGCTACTTTTATCCTTTTGTGACACGAGCGAAGCCGCGGGTAAAAGCTAGTCAAATATAAAAAAATGGTCACCATCAATATGTAGGTCTTTATAATAACAATCGTGAGACATACTATCTTAATTAACTAAAAATCGCGGGTATCTCACCATCACAGAGGGGTTCTTCCTCATGAGCAGAGTGCGTGGTCGCGGCGATGTCGCGCAGCCTACTGCGTACAATACAGCCTACAGTAGGCCAGGAAGAACCCCACTGTGGCTCAAAACTGGCAGAGCTTTTCTCAATATTTTCACGTGACATTTAATATGTGGGTCATTAAGTAGTACTATCATCAAAAATGAAACAAAACAATAACAAATAACATTTTATTTTTGCCTAAACCGGGATGAGAACACATAACGCTGAGTACACAGTACGAAGCACGCTGTATATAAGGTACCCGTATAAGAGGACACACAGGATGTGGACATATTTCAGTACTCGTTGTTTCTTCAGTCCATAGTCTGAACCTTTCAGGCCATCTTTTACGATATACCTGAAAATTATGAAAAATGAATTAGATAATCTATATATTTATACTTTCATATCAAAATGCTGAAGTTCGTTTGCTTGTATGTTTTAACGCGCTTATCTCCTAAACTGCTGGTTCGAATTGAGTAATTATTTTAATGTTGGATAGTTAATTTTTTGAAGAATGCTTATACTTCTAAATTTCATGACCTCTTTATCTGAATAATATTAAATGGACATATTATCTAATGAGTCCAAACTCAAGCTCAAGATTCCTCCAGCCATCTTCCAATTCCATCATCAAACCATCTCGATGCCACCATAATATTGTATTGTCATCTAATCTATATACAATTGCTAAGTTGCATGATGATACGACAGTTAGAATTGTGTGTAATTCAGATTCTTAGATTTTGTTACATAGTTCGTTACAGGTCGACCCAATGAAAGCGTGTCACACATACCTTCGCAGTCCAACAGACACAGATACGACAACGTCCTTAGGATCATATTCTCTGACATTGCATCTAAATATGGCCTGGTCTGCGGAAGCCAGCCTATTCGTCATGGCCACAACATTATCATCTGTGATCTTCCAAGAATTAAATAAGAAGTACTCGTAGACTTGGAATAATTTATAGGTCTTTTTGTAAATCGATGTTATGCTGAAATGTAAGAATTTGGCATTAATAGGGAGCATGGGTGGCTCGCCGCCCGACCAGAACCAGACCCGAGCGTACGGCGCGGCGCGTTCCGCGCGCGCCTCAAAGAGCCATCAGACCACCACGGATGGGGCCTTATAGGGCTGATGCCGATACGGAGCCGCGGAGTACTTAACGGGTTGCCGGGGCTCCGGCTCGAAGGGTAGGAGTAGGAACGGAGTGGTTTTTAGTCAGTAACAGTCTGACATTCCCTCCCGCCTCACCCAGGCGGGAGAAATGATTCGATAATTTTCCCCCCTTTAAAAAAACAAAGGGTGGGACGGACCCCCTTTAAAACAAAGAACTATGCTTTGGTATTAGTAGGCCAGCTTGACCGGGGTGATATATAATATAATACGGCCTCACACTGACGGAAAACAACAAATGCGTTAGTAGCAGCGCGACAGTCGCCGCGTCGCGGGTTGCGGAGTGCTGGTTATGAATATGAGCCTCTAGCATGGCTTGAAACTAGTCGGGTTCTGAGTCAAATAATTACATGAGTAACTCGAGAACATAATAATTAATTTAGTATGTCTTGCAAAAGTCATAATGTAAACAACGTTTGCGTTGTGTGTATCCATGTGAATGAGGTTCCTTGAGGCTCTCTCCTCCAAAAAACCAACAACACATTTGTAACTCCTCTAGTGTTCCGGGTGTCCATGGGCGACGCCGATTGCTTACCATCAGGTAATCCGTCTGCTCGTTTGCTGACCTATTCTATATTAAAGTTGTTACTCTTGATTTTTTTAAAACGTTGCCCCCCACTAGGGTTTTCTCAGAAGAAACAGGACACAGGTCTCGTGTGTGCGTTTATAAACATACAATTTCACATACACATGACACCTAATCCCAGACCATAATTTATAGATCACACAAGGAGTTATTCCGTGCGGAAATCGAAACCGCGATACGTTGCACGGCAGCCATTTGCCCAGCCATCGCACCAACCGAAGCAGAGCAGTCAGATTCGAGCATGATTTTTTTTTTATGGCATAAGCCGGTAACCTAGCAGACGGATCACCTGATGGTAAGCAATCGGCGTCGCCCATGGACACACGGAACACCAGAGGCGTTACACGTGCGTCACCGGCTTTTTGGGGATTAGGAGTTTGAGGATCGTTGGGGATTCAGGGATTGGGGAGATTGGGGAAGGGGAAGGTAATAGGGCCTCCGGTAACCTCACTCTCACGACGAAACACAACGCAAGCGTTGCTTCAAGTCGGTTTTCTGTGAGGCCGTGGTATTACTCCGGTCGAGCCGGCCCATTCGTGCCGAAGCATGGCTCTCCCACACATGATTGATAAAAACAGTATAACCATATATGTTTTAACTTACGATGGTAGCCCTTTTGGTCTGACTCCAAGAGCAGTCACAATGGCGTCTATTAAGTATCCAGGAATGTAATGAAACAGCCATGTCAGGAACCAGAATAGTACTGGACTAGTTGTTTCAACTGCACAAATATAATACAAAGATTTCGGCGTGCTTAGTTGTAATAATTCATCTGTTCTCAACGTCGCCAATATCGGTGCTGCAACAATAGACAAAGATATTATTTTTCCAAGTTAAGAAAACTTAAAACACATTCTTAATTGAACATTATACAACATCCTTGTCATCAGGGAAGGACCTAAGTAATGAGCTCAAACTCGATATGGTTACTCTAGGTTCCATCAGCCACCTTCCAATACGGTAGTGGACAACTAGTCAAATTCAATACTTTTATCAAAACGTCAAAAACAATATTGTTCTATGAATTTTGTACGAAATACCATCTTATGACGTCATCGTATTTTCGCGTCAAATAGCACACTTATATCTAAAAAAAGGGAGACTAAATCGAAAATTAAGTATATCGGCAAATCAATGAATGAAAGTGTAACTATTTTTTTGACTGAAAAATCAAAATGATTAATTTTTGACCTAGGAAACTACCTAATTCCATCATCAAACCATCTCGATGGTACCATAATATTGTATCGCCATGTAATGTACATACAATGGCTAAGTTTCACGATGATACAACAATTACAAGTGTGTGTAATTCAAGTTCTTAGATTTTGTTACATAGTTCGTTACAGGTCGACGTAATGGAACCGTGGTAAAAAAAAGGGGTCTGACGATGGTATTCTCATTATAGGTTATAGTGCGGTTTCGACACCTATCAATAGGGTAGTTGCCAGAGAATGAAATTTAAAAATGTAATTAGTCCGTCAGTTACATCATGAAAAAATATTAGACACGTATTTTTTACTTACACCGACTTCAAAAAAAGGAGGAGGTACTATGTTCGGCTGATTGTTTTTCTAGTCGGTGCCATAAGGTCACACCATCTATATTAATAATTTCGTCAAGGGGTACGGTAGACTCGATCGAAGCATTAGGTACCTGAATAACGAAACATAAAAAAATATCGTTTTCGCATCGACAACATATATCCGCAAAATTCGGATTACGGAGATTATTTCGTTTTATTTATTCATTTAATGACACTGACAGACAAACCGCAGTCGCCATCTTGAGTAGACAATAAACGTTCCGTTTCATACTAGCCTTCAAATACACCTCGCCAATCAAGACGTTGTAGCGTCAAAAAAGTATAAATTAACAAGAAAAATTAATAATTTCACGCAAACGAAGTCGCGGGTAACGGTTAGTAATGATATAACTTAATATGGCCACAAAATTGTAAATTAGGTCCAAATTTTGTAAGGAACTTATGGCGCCGACTTCTAACCTAGCAGTGGGTGGGTAACCTATCAGTACTAATAATAGTTATTTTTTGCTTTTTAGTTTTGAATTTTGTTTGTTATTAGTTTTTGGTTTTTTTAAGTCGGTTTTTTAATCTCGTATAAAGTTACAATACTTCGATAAAATGGAGTTAAGTTTAGGAATGTTAGTTCGTTACGTCACTATGCCCTATACTATACACAGTGACGTCACACGATATATCAGATTAATATATCGTTGAAAGCATTTTTTTAATTTTGTGAGAAAAGAAAAAATACATGTCTAATGTTTTAAATTAATCTACCAGATGGACCAATGGGACTTCTTACGAGTCGCGCGTAAGTAGTTCGTAAGGTTATAAAAACATCACTGACAAATGGTTTGCCAATTACCCCCTCCCCAGTCTCCCCAATCCCCAACAATCCACAAATACCTGGAAAAAGCTGGTAACGCACTTGTAACACCTCTTGTGTTTCGGGTGTCCATGGGCGCCGCCGATTGCTTACCATCAGGTGATCTGTCTGCTCGTTAACCGGCTTATCCCATAAGAAATCGTGATGAAACCTAAGCTTACAATTGGGATGATGACAGGGTATGAAAATTAAAAATCTAATTAGTCCGTAAGTTAGGTAATGAAACGATATTAGACACGTAATTTTTTATTTTGTCGTATAATAAAACAATACTTAGATAAAACGAATCCAAGTTTAGGAATGGGGGCTAAAACGTCATTTCTACGTATAAAATATACATAGAAGTGACGTCACGCGACATTTCAAATCAATATATCGTCGAAAGTATTCGTTTCTGTAAGAAAATAAAAAATACGTGTGTAATGATTTAAAATAATTTACCAGACGGACATTGAAATAAAAATTAGGCATCTACCCTATTTCTAATGATGATGATAGTACTGAAGATACGTACCCCATGAAAAGTTACAATCGACGCTGCCGACAGTGTAGATTGGTATTTCTGAATTGATATTTTTTCTATTCTCAACGGAATCCCACCCTGCAGCGAGAATAACGTTATTCACATAGTCCACAGGTGTTATACAGAAATTAATGTTTTTATCGAGGTACAAGACATGCATCACGCCAAGTCCAGCTCCTAGAAGAAACTGAAATAAAATGTAAGAGTCAGTTATATAATACTAATCAAGCTTCTGCCAGCGACTTCGCTGACAATTACGTGGTGTGGAAAGTAGCCTATGTATTATGCTAGACTAGACCATAATCTCAAACAATTCAGTCACTATGCAGCATTGATAATTAATTAGATTACCAGGCCAATAAGCTTAATGTCTCCCTGTCTCATCTTTGATCCCTTTTCCTGAGTTTTCCTACAAGTTTCTGTCCCCAAGCCAGCAATGCACTAGTAACTCCTCTGGTGTTCTAGGTATCCATGGGCGGCGCTGATTGCTTACCATCAGGTGATCCGTCTGCTCGTTTGCCGCATAATAAATTATGTTACTTACTCCAACTGGCGACGCCATGACAGTTCGGTTGTCTATCCATCCTGGAGTTGGCTCAATATGTGACGCTATGACTGAAAAGTTAAAGAAATATGTAAGGAGCGTGTATTTTGTGTAGCCCCAAAGTGGTACTATGTATTATCTGGTTATTATGTGGGAGAGTCTTCCCCACGAATGGGGTCGCTTGACCGGAGTACCACGGCCGTGCCCCAATTATCCAATTCTTAGTTGTAACTTCCGTAGTGCTGATTGCTTACCATCAGGTGATCCATCTGGTCGCCGTCTTATACCAAATAAAAAGCCAAGTAGTCTATCTTTCTAACAGTGACAATATTATGACATCTTTAGAATGGCACAATGCCGTTGGGTGATGATGCGAAGACCTACCTACTGCTGGCTTGACTATACAGATGGGCAGATCACCAGCTCGTCTCCTCACCAGTTCTTCTGAGATGGCCTTTGTAAATGTGTATGTGTTTGGCCAGCCTTTGATTAAACTGTAAAAATACATAATTTATTATAATTTTTCTAGGCCTCCGGTAACCTCAGTCCACGATGAAACACAACGCAAGCGTTGGTATATTGTCAACAATACGGATTGTACACAAAAATCATTCTCATGTATCTGTGGCGACACATGTTACATGTCAATGGATGACGTCACCAAAATCCTACATCGCTCATGCAAAGCTTACATGCAAATTAACACGGATAGAAAATCCCAACGAACAACTGTTGTGCAGAAAGCCCGCCAGGCACGATCACCTCGCCTGGTCGGAAGATCCTCCTTTTCTGATCTTAGGGACACTCTGTTCCCTAAAAATCTATTAAAAAAACTGCATCAAAATCCATTGCGCAGTTTTGAAGATCTAAGCATTCATAGGGACAGACAGCGGGAAGTTATTTTGTTTTATACTGTGTAGTGATCATGTTTCAACTCACCCAGATGTGATCGCGGTCAATCGTTCTTCTTCCACATTTTCCACCAACTCGATAAAAGCATCTGGTGGTACAGGAGACTCGTAGAACTGTTCGCTGACTTCCTTATTTATTCGATCTTTAGTAGCATGGGCGAAAGCAGTAGAAATATGACTAAAAAGCCTGTAAAAGTAATAATGCTTCAGTACGTGTGTCACCTCGACAGTCAACCTCGCTACATCCTTGTTGACTGGACATCTACACTACATGAGCTGCTGTCTACATGTGAACATTAGCTCATGACAATATCTAAGTACGTGTGTCGCCTGGACAGTCAACCTCGCTACATCCTTGTTGACTGGACATCTACACTACATGAGCTGCTGTTTACATGTGAACATTAGCTCATGACGACACCTAAGTACGTGTGTCGACTGGACAGTCAACCTCGCTACATCCTTGTTGACTGAACATCTACACTACATGAGCTGCTGTTTACATGTGAACATTAGCTCATGACGACACCTAAGTACGTGTGTCGACTGGACAGTCAACCTCGCTACATCCTTGTTGACTGGACATCTACACTACATGAGCTGCTATTTACATGTGAACATCACCTGTCGCTACTTACTTGAGGTTTTGGCATTGTTTGCCTAATTCCAGCATTTCTCGGGTACCTCGCACGTTGATAAGACCTGCCTTTTTCAGAGGCTCATCAAAATTCACTGTTGCAGCTAAGTGGACGATCACGTTTACCTGGAAAATAGGGCATACGACGTCAAATTTTATATTCAAAATCAAACTATTTACTTAGTGGCTGACCCGGTAAACTTTATACCAGCTAAACCTTTTATTAAACCTTCCCTGGACTTCCACGACCATTTCAAGACCAAAATTAGAACAATCGGTTCATACGTTCTCGAGGTTTAGCGAGACTAATCATCTTATGCACGTATTTATGTGTATAGATATCGATTAGACCATATAAAGGTACTTTGGAAATTTCAAATAAAATTGAGTAGTCTATCATTCTGTACATCAATAACATACATACATACATAACTTCTCGCCTGTCTCCCATGGGGGTAGGCAGAGACTAGGGAACGCCAATTACTATGATTCCTACATACATACCTCTTTCGCTTCATCGTCAAACAACATCAATTTTTTCAAGCATGTTCGTCGGATAAGGGTACTTTTAATTAGTAAAAGTGTAATAATAATATCTAATATTAATGCAGATATTATGTAGATTAGAATAAAGACCACAGAAGGATATTCATATCAACAGCGGGAGACCCCAGCTGAACAGAGTTTCCTCTACATGAGAGAGATGTGCCATCATCTTCATGGGAGAGGGTGTTGGAGATAGCAGCTTATAAGGTTCAGGTTTATCAGTCTCGGTCAAATGTGTAGTCCCTTAGTCGAGTACAAAACACCCGCGGGAAATATGTTAACAAATAAATTAATTGATTTGAAAAATTGTATAGTGACCTGATTGAAAAAGTACTCTTTTTACATATGAAGTTTCTTGCTCGTTCTTCTACATAGGAATCAACACCTTGGAATGAGCAAATCGCTTTATTTTTAAGTGCCTTCCTGGTCTAATTAAAATGAATGATTTTGATTTTGATTCTCTACAGTGGACTGACGATGATGAATCTGTTCATTCATAAATATCATAAATAACATTATAGGAACCTACCTCTTTCGTCAATGTATCCCAATCCTTGTCACTTAGGCCAAGCCTCAAATCGGCCACGTCTCCTTCTATTGGTACGATTTGACTGGCGAAATTGGGCTTCTTTTTACGCAAGGTGTCATATAACTGAAATTCAAGAAAATGTAATTAACCTAATGGTGATACAGTTTAGCTGCTTTCATCATTATCATCATCATTATCATCATCATCATCATCATCATCATCATCACTTTCATCTGCGGTCTAGCCAGTGACAATAGGGTAGATGCCTAATTTTTATTTTAATGTCCGTCTTGTAGATTATTTTAAATCATTACACACGTATTTTTATTTTCTTACAGAAACGAATACTTTCGACGATATATTGATTTGAAATGTCGCGTGACGTCACTTCTATGTACATTTTATACGTAGAAATGACGTTTTAGCCCCCACTCCTAAACTTTGATTCGTTTTATCTAAGTATTGTTTTATTATACGACAAAATAAAAAAATACGTGTCTAATATTTTTTCATTACCTAACTTACGGACTAATTAGATTTTTAATTTTCATACCCTGTCA